AAACATTTTTTTAAATATAAATTAAGCAGAAAAATATCATTTAATAGAATAAAAAATAATACTTTTATAAGAAAATAATTTAAAAAAAATTAATTTCTTTCGTTTTTCGCGCTGTGCACGAACCAAACTCGACCTTTACCGTGTATAACGCGCACTAAAGCAACTCGCACGATACGAATTAAATTAAAATTATAAATAAAGTTATGAATTGAATGAAAAATAAAGGTTATCATTTCGTAAAAAAACGTTATTTATCCACTCCTTTAGCATTAATTTTCGCGGCATTGATAACGTTTTCTCTCTCCCCCCTTCCGATCGATAAACTAAAACACAGCTCTTACGTCATTATGGTTAATTTCGGAGGCTCCTCCTACATCATCGCGGTACGCCCCGTGTCACGTGACTAGGCCACCATTAGTTCCGTTAGGGACTCCGTTATCGTAATGGATAGAAATTAATACTATATTATCACACACTAATTAATGATCTAGAACCCAGTCTGACATCATCGTTTAGTTGTCTAACTAATTTGGGAATGCGTTACGAGATACATTAATTGTGAGAAGAATAAATGATTTAAAGCATCTTTACGAGTTTTAGTTTTAAGTTTAAAATTGTATTTTTAATTTAAACACTTTTATTTGCCTTGTTTTATAAAGTTAAAGAAATGGACCAATCGGGGAGGAGTTCTTATTCAATTTAAGATTTTGTATTATTATAATCGATGTATCGATCGATATTATTGGCGAGTGAATTATTATTGCATTTTTGTTATTTTTTCACTTATTCAGTGATTATAAAGTTAAATATATTAATTATTTAATGGCTAATTTATAATTTAGGATTAATTGAATGTTTTAAGTCTTTAATTAAAAAATTTAAAGCTTTATTAGCTTTCTAAAGTGGCTTGATAATAACGTAAATATATATATACATAAATTATGCAATTTTAAAGGTTTAAATTAAATTTTAAACAGTTTTAAGTTAAAAACGTTCTTTAAAAAATTAATGATATTTTAATTGCATTTGTTATAAAAACAAAAAAACTGACCAATCGCATTAAAGCTTTTATTGAAATTACGATCGTATATCATTGGCATTGATGTATCGGTCGCTGTTATTGGTGAGTGAATAAATATGCTATTTTTTATTATTTTTAAAAAATATTTACAAATTATAAAAAGTTTAAAATATTTGAAATTAAATTGTTTAATAATTTAATTTATAAATTATAATTATTTGAATATTATGCGCTTTAAATCAAGGAATTTATACTTATAGCTTTGTAACGTGTTATGTGGTTAAAATGAGGTTTTTAGTTTGAAATAACGTAAAAATAGTCATAAATTATGTATTTTTTAAATGCTTATTATGTAAAAGAAGTGCTGTAATTAACGAATGTGAAGTGTAATGTTACAGAAAATCGATTTCTATCAAAAACACGATTTTTATACACGAAAAAGGTGAAAGGTTAATCTAGTATTTGAAAAGAATAAATATATAATAAAGTAGAAAAGATTTGTATATTAAAATATACAAATCTTTTCTACTTTCAATTTTCAACATAAATTTTCGTGATTTTTCAACAGAAAAACGCCCTTTTTCCTTGTTTATCTTCGCTCAAATCTAAGCTTTAAAGATAATTTAATTTTAGAAAATTCCCAAATTTTAATTAAAAAAGTAAATATTTTAACAAACCACACACTAAATTTACGCAAAAAACTAATTTACGAGAAAAATATCAAATTTTCATAACGCTTCGTCTTAAAATTCAAATAGACCAATAGCAACGACGCTTCTAAGAATCATCCAATTAATTAAAATAAGTAATTGAAATTACAATGGTGGTGATTGGTTGAATGTGTTTACTATAACTAGAAACGTTGGACGCTATTGGCTATTGTTTACTCCAGAAGAAGATTCAAAAGGAAATGAAGGAAAGAGTCCTTCCCATGATGACTCGGGCGTTGTTGTGCTGCCCCCTAGCGTCACAGACCTGTGAATAATGGTCTGGCACTGACATCTGATTTTTCTCCGGAAGCGAGGGACAGGAACTGGGGAAATGGAGCCGAGGAAGCATACACCCATCAATCATCTATGACGACTTTCATTCTTTACTTCACTTGTTCTATAGTTTTCCTGATAACTTCAACATTTTCTCTTCATTATTTCTTAACTTTAACCACCTGACTATAATGCCATTGATTCAATTCCTTTCCTTTTCCTTTTTTTTACACGAAAATTATGAATTTTTACTCAAGTTAAATTTCTTTAGCTCTTTTAATTATTTAAATAAAAATTTTTTTAAAATTTAAAAAATGTAGTAATATTAAATAAATTATATTATTGGAGTATTTTATCAAATATTTAAATGAAAAAAAAATTCTTTGCTTTTTTTTGGGATTGTTTTAAAAATATGCTGCTGCCATCTGTTGGTGTTAATTCCAATTAATAGCTAAGTTTTAATTTTAAATCGATAATTATTGATGTTATTTTATATACAAACCTTTAAAATAATAAAAGTTTTGAATATAAACAAATTATTCTAAATAAAATTTTAAAATTTTGTAGGTTTTTAAACTTTTTGAAAGTTTTTGTATTATTTATAATTCCCCCTATTTGGATTCTTATTCAGTTTTGAGTGGATAAAGTGGCATTTCATTCATTAATGAGTAATTACTTGTCGGCAAATTAATGTATAGATAATACATTATCCATCAGTCAAGGCTGGATGAACTGAATGAATAATTGCAAGAATGAATAATGATTTCATCAACAACTTATTTACTTTGATTTTGATTTGATAAACGCATTCATTAATTATGACTTTTATTTTATTTTAATAAATTTCATGATATTTAAATCTATAATTTTGACATTATTAATAATTTTAAAATATTTTTCGGAGAATAAAATTTAAAAAAATATCGCCATCTATCGCGGAAAAACGTCAACAACCGATTTTTCGTTAATACCAAAAAAGGGATAAATACTTCATTGAAGAAGTATTTAAAAATTATTAATATTATAACGAAGTTTTATTTATTTTTTTAAATTTGTTTTTATAATTGAAAAGTTAAAAAAATGAATTTTGTCGGGTTAATAGCTTAATTTTTAAAAATATAATTACAAAATATTCTTTAAAAGTTAATATATCTTTCGGCATTTAAAATTCATCACATAGTTTTAACCTAATTTCGGATGGAGTGCATGATTTGTTGTATTTAAGGCCGCAAATTTAGCAATGTAGAAAATATATTCATCACAGCTTCAATGTTAAATCAATATAGCATACAGTTGTCGACTTTAGTGATGATGATTAGTCGGCGATCGGGATGATAGATCGCACATTTCCTGTTGCTCAACACATTTATTGTGATTCGTGTGCCACGCTCCGGCTTCACCAGCAATGTACTTTATCTTGATAAATTTTAAGGATGAATTCACGAATTTAATTCCTGAATAAATTACAATTTTTTCTCCAGATTTTTCTCTCCGTTCTCCACTTAATCATCAATCCGAGACTTCAAAAAGAACTTATATGCAATTTTTTTTAAATATATAAAATTATTGCCAAAATATTTTTTTAAACGTTAAGATGGATGATAAGGCAACGAAATAATGTTTAGTACTTAATGACTTTTATAAAGATAATTTATTATACGTGGAGGTTATATAAATTATAAATTTATTTTTAGTTTTTCAAGTAGAAAAATGAATTTTTTTTTAAGTTATAAAATGATTAGAAAATGTTTAAGATAATTAATATTTTAATTTTCTATTTATTTGATTAGGATTTTAACTAATTCAACTGATATTTGTACTTGTATTGAAACTCCAATAAAGGCCATTTCTAAACAGCAGCCATTTTTTTTCTTATGAACGTTTCTTTTTGGAGTGCATACAAAACCTCCAAACAACGACCAAGTTTTTATGCTCCCATTAGTGGCCGTTGTTCAGAGGTTTGACTATAATTTATTAAGTAAATTTTAAAATTTTTAAAGCAAAGTTTAAAGAAAATGCATTAATTCATTCCAAACGTTTAATAAAAGCAGAAAGAAAAAATACATTTAGACTTATTAAAATAAAATTTAGGAATGTAATTAATAAAATAATTTATTTTAAATTAATTTTAACATTTAATTTTGTACTTTAAGTTAATAATTATGATCTTGTGATCATTATGAACACGTAATAATTCTTATAACGAAGCTGGCTTCGTGTTAATCATCAGAAACAAAAGAAAACAGATTTATTTTTTAATTAACATCAAATTAGAGTTACTCAAGACTTATAATTATTATAATTTATGGAATTATTCTTTCAAAAGAATCTTTTCTTTCGAACCAACTTCATTCATTATTTATTAAATCGCTATTGTTTAATCATTGACAAGTTAATTAAGGTAGCGATTTTCTTAGTTGTATGATAATATTTTAAGTTTATTTGCAAAAATAATTAGTTATTTAAACAAGGCCCTATTACAGGAAGATCATTAAACTGTTTGGTACAGGCATCACAATAACGGAGGCCTCGAAAAATATTTATTATAAAATATCCATTCATATGTAAATATCTTTATTTTAAATGCTGTTTTACATCTCATTTCTCTCGATGCATATGAGCTGTGAGACACGAGGACCTATAGCTTTTGTGAGGCTCGAGAACTATGAAAAACATCTTGAGAAGTTTTTGTTTTATTATACGACGGAACTTCTACCGGATTAATTAAATATTTTATTATAGAAAAGCCAATAAAACTATTTTTTAAATATGTAAGTAGATATAAATTATGTCTATTATGTGGATTAATCACCTTTATGTATATGTAACATTTTGTATAAATATTGCGCCATGTTGAGTAACACAAATTTGCGCGTTTTTTTAATGCTTTTTTTATTTTTGTAGCGAGAAAATGACGTGGCAATTTGTTTAATTAGGCATTACTCTATACAAAAAGAAAACGGAAGTCATTTAATTATAGATTTAATGTCAAAACTATGGATTTTGACGATGTTTTGCCACATATTGGTGGCTATGGTAGATACCAAATATTTTTCTTTTCGTTTATAGTAATTCCTTCGAATATTTTATCGGGATTTGGATATATTAATTTTTTATTCGTATCTGGAATTCCCGATCATTGGTGTTTCGTTCCAGAATTACAGTTCCTATCGTTGGAATTGCAAAAAAATTTAAGTATACCGACGGAAGAGGTTGATGGAACCAGGCGTTACAGTAAATGCCTAATGTTTGATGTCAATTATACGCAAATTTTACAATACTATAATAATAGCCGACGTAATTGGCCAAAAGTTAAATGCCGACACGGATGGAATTACGAGAGATCCGTCTATGACACTACGCTGATTTCCGAGGTGAGTTTGTTATTAAAATTAAAATTCAATTTAAGGTATTTTAAAATTATTTTTAAACTTAAATATAATTAAAATATAGTTGTAAAAGTGTTTACGGAGTAAATAAAATTAACGAGATGACCCCCTACTGATGCTCTCTCTACTTTAAATAGCATCGAATTATTAATTAAGAAGGCGGTCATCAGGACTTTCTCTGATTACAAACATTTATTGTGCAAAAATTTCTCCAGTTAGAAACGCGATTTGTGGCACAATTTACGTTGATTACTAGAGATTTTTTGTTATAATGCAGCACATAGTGAAAGGTCCAAGAGACGTTGCGTTGCAGTCAACAATATCAAAATGGCGCCTCTGGAAGAATAGCTCAATGCATTCTGCAGTTTCACAAAACAAAATCACCAATTATGGTTTAGTGAAACTTCAGAGAAGAGTACAAACGAGAACTAACAGATGGTATAAGTATTAAATGCTGGTAAGACAGTTCTTTGCAGGATACCAACACTGCCAATGTCTTTAAAATTTATATTCTAACCTGTAATGCTTTTGACAAAATTGCCAGGATAGTAACTGTAAATTCACAAAAATAAAAGACTATACAAGAATTATTTAATTTTAAATATATGGCCTCCATCTCAAATTAAAGTTTTAAATTGAAATTATGTAACTTTCGTTGCCAATCGGAAGTTTTTATATAGTTAATCGGGGCCTCCTGCCCCTAAAATTTCCATATTTGGTCTTGACTTTCATATATCTAACTCCGTTCTCGAGATTAAGGAAGGACAGCCAGACAGTGAGAATTTATTATCTACAATTTTTTCATTATTTCAGCACAAAAAAATCTTCTTATATCCTTTCTTACACTTCAGGACTTCAGGAAATAACTTTTACTTAGAGCCTACTCCGTCGCCTCACTATGCATAAAATTACAAAATTTTGCTCTGGTGACGTCACAAGTAAAAATATAATATACATTTGATAAACCTTTAATGCATTTCTCTTCTGATAGTTGCCTTCCAAACTTTTCTCTGAAGTTTTACGAGCGATTTTGTTTCATGAAATCGCAGAACTCACTGAGCTTCCTTCCTTAAAGGCTGCCATTTTGATATTGGCGATTGCAATATCGTTTGGATCTTTCGATATGTGCAATATTACATTTGTATACATATTGGAGCAAATAAATAGCTACGATGATGAATAAATATATTTCAGTGATTGATATTTATGTTAATATATTAACTTTCAATAAACTGAATTCGTTATTATTATTATTGAATGAGCTATTATTCACGTAAAATATTATAATATTTTATGTGAATATTTACTTATTTCCAGATGAATATTGTTTGCGATAGAAGTTGGATGTCGACTCTTGCTAATTCTGCATATTATATTGGAGGAATCATAGGAAGTCTTTGGTTCGGTTATATGGGAGATAAGTATGCATTTTTTTTTAATGTTCAGCAAATACTAGGTTAAGGAACATTACTAAAATGAAGTGTTAAGTTATTATATACTGTATTTGCTATTGCTGCATACATTATAAAGGGCATAAAGTTTCATTTTCTGTCAACATTAAAAATTGTTTTGTATTTAAACACCATAATAAATAATGGATGCCATGATACAAAATAGCAAAGGCAACAGCTTGTTGCCTAAGAGATCCAGCTATCAGTCTGAGATCTAACTCTCACCATTTTGCAACCCTCATTGTGGGCCAGTCCCACCTCGTGATTGACATTGAAAAGGGCCATCTTAAGATATAACTATGTGAGATTATGCAAATTAGGAAGTTTGAATTAAGAATATGCAAATTAGAAGTTAGAGTAGCTTTTTTAGGGTTTTAAATTATTTTCATTTTATAAAATTTATTGATAACCACAGAGAATTTGTCATAATTTGCATGACTAATCATGAATAGAAATTAAAATTACCAGGAAGTACAGTACAATTGTTAATTGTTAGTAAACAATAAGCCAATCCAAATTTAAATATATATACATTTAATCTAATTTGAATTATTTTATTAATAAAAATCACAATAATTTTCTATAGATGGGGTAGAAAACCGGCATACATTACAGCAGTTGTCTTCTACTTAGGAGCCAGCGTTTTATCTTGTTTTCCTACAAACTACGCTGCTTATATACTTTATCGGGGTCTGGTTGGTGTTACGTTTCCTGCATCCTTTCAGATTCCTTTAGTAATTGGTGAGTAAGAATAATTATCAGAAACTCTTGTTAAGTTGCTCAAATTTTCATTTTTAATCTGGCATACTTCAATTCCAGTTATGGAAATCATGTCTCCAGATAAAAGAACAAGAGATGGAATGCTGAGCAATATATACTTTTCTGTAGGATTGGCACTGACAGCAGGGATTGCATATATTTTAAGAAAGTGGTTTACCATAGCTTTGGCAACTTCTCTACCATTGCTTTTCCTCTGTATCACGTTTTTGTAAGTTAGAATTTAGCCAATATTCCAGTTTTTCTCGGCACAATGCAGGTACCCTAATTGATATTAATTTTACAGTTTTGTTGCAGAATCTCCCAGATGGTTAATTAGTAAAAATCGCTACGAAGAAGCCGAGAACGTTGTTCAAAAAATCGCAAAGTATAACGGAACGAAAATCGAAAAAAATTTCTTAAAAATGCATTTGTTTTCAGGGAAAGATGAGGTTAATTAAATATCGATTTTTATTAAAAAATGAGGTTAAATATGGCCCTAAAGTCAGTTAACCGTGCTTCTTGTAAGCATTTTTAGTAAGTGATAAATACGCAAATTCATTTACTACAATGGTTAACCGACTTTTGGGCCACCCTGTATTAAGTAAACTGTGATTTTAGACTAAATGAGTGTTTAAGAAATCGAATTTTTAGCCAAAGAAAAGTTGGAAATCAATTAAAAGTTGGAAATCAATTTTAATTGATTTCCAACTTTTCTTTAAACTTTTATAAAAATATTAAATAAACAACTTTTAAAAAATATACAAAATTTTATTTTTTTCAGAGGAAAGAAATAAAAGAAGCAAATCACTCCTATTTAGATTTGTTTAGATATCCGACAATGAGGAAAAATTTCATTATCCTTACCATCGACTGCATTATCATAAGTCTAGCATATCCGGTCCTTTCGTTTGGAGTTTCTTTATTGAACATCAACGAATATCTAGCATCTGCCACATCCTCGCTAGTGGAAATTCCAGGTATCATCTTCTCTTGGATAATTATGGAAAAAATTGGTCGAATGTGGTCCATGGTTGTAACAATGAGTTTGGGTGGACTCTCCTGTCTTTGCGTTTCACTCTTTTCTTTGGGTAAGATAAGCATAAAACTCATTCTAGTAACCAAAATGCAATTAGAACTTCATGATGATCAATCGATGAGGTTATAACCTCATTTCATAATACAGGGTGGGCCTAAAGTCAGTTAACTATTGTAAAGACTAATTCAATACTTTTTCGTTTCGAAATAATTTGGTTTCGATCGATAGAATCAGCTAAGAGGTCCTCGTGGATGGCATCAGTTTTTCAAAGAGGACCTCTTTGAAAAACTTTATCATAATTACGCACGTGAAATAAATTCCACGCGGCAGCCAATTGGTGAGGCGCTAACCCACGACCAAACTGTGTTTGGATGTTTTATTCACTCAACCACTGGTGGGCAGTCTTTTAAATGGGATCCTCCGTCTTTAATACGACAATTAACACGTTTAACAAATTAAACAATAATTTTCGATACGTTTGAGAGAGTCATACTGTTAACTGACTTATGGGACACCTTGTAATAGTTTAAAATTTAAATCTTTTAATCTATATTCAGCAGAAAACAACACAATTTTCAGTAAATGTTATGAAATTTTACAGTTCTTTACCACGAAAAAGCATGGAATTTTGTACAGAAATACGTCCAATTTTGAAATTTTGATAATTTTCTATTTAGATTATGTATGGACGATCAACATATTGACAAATTTGGGTAAATTCTTCATTTCCGGAGCCTGGGCTATCGTTTATATATACGGGTGCGAGTTGTTTCCCACGGATCTACGTAATTCAGCCATTTCTGCCACCTCTCTCCTAGCAAATGCTGCTAGCATCGCATCTCCTTACGTCCTAATGCTTGTAAGTTAGGAAAACACCATTACTTCTTTCGTTAAGAGCTATAATGGATTAAATCTTTACGTTTATTTTGGTAGAAGAACGTGGATCAGATGTTACCTTTCGTCTTGGTGGGGGTTATATCGTTGATATCGGCTTTGTTAACATTACTCTTACCTGAGACAAAGGATAAGCATCTTCCTCAAACTATAGCTGAAAGTGAAATGTTGCGAGTTGATTTATGCAAATTTTGTGATATTTATAAAAATATAAAGTTATATTTTTAAGAAGATTTTGATCAATTTTCTTTCGTGCGATAATCGGAAATATTAAATATTTAGTGAATAGATCGTAGATATTACAAAAAAATTATACTTGTAATGTTCTTATGCAAATTAATTATTATAATATACGAGGTTTTTATTACTAGATGTATTAATTATTTATTAATTATCAGGAATATAATTTGATTATATATTATATTAGCATCAATATGTTAATCACAAAAATTAAATGACACAATATATTATTATCGTTGTTGTTAGTATTAATATGTGTTAATATGATTTATTTTTCAATTATTTTAATCATTCTAACATAGTTTGACGTAGAGTATAACCTATACTTATTGATTTACTAAGAGGGTTGCTCAGAATGTCATAAAACAAATTTTTTCCTCTCATTTTCACTTCAAATACTGGATTCAAATACATTGTTACCTGAATTACTGGTTACCACAAGATTTTTTCAATATTCAATTATGTCCTTATGCCATCGAGATATGAGAACTTGATGATTTCGTGATACCACTCTGCAAGTCTTATGATCTTGAGAGTTATAATTACCATTCGAAATCATGGCAACAATTTTCTGAGTTAATAAAGTGATTCTAGTAGTTACATTGCGAGGTTTTTAAATAATCATATGCTAAAGAAGCATTTCAAGTAGATTCATTCCCACAAGAATGCGACAAAAATGCTTTTTTACGAGATTTTACCACGACAACGAGGATCCACATACAAATGCTCGAGAAATCTTCATAAAACTTCAATGGGGTATCCTACCTGATTCATCTTACAGTCTAAGAGCAGCAGTTCTTAACTATTGATACACGTATAACCGGTGGTACGCATAAAGGATTTGTTAGTTCTACAAGTCTATCCACAGAAGGGTCAAGTGGTACGCGAGTGAAAAAAGATTGAGAACCGCTGATCCATCCATATAGTTTGCTCCATCCGTTCTGATCTTTTGAAAGATACAATTCGCTGTAAAATGTTTGAGGAGACGAGAAATTCAATTTTCGGACTAAAGAACTTTGGCTTTGATAGTGATAACGTAAAAGCATACAGGGTTGCATGCTCACTATTATTGAATCTGACATACTTGAACAATCTGACATAATTGAAATACTAAACGAGAAGAAACTTGTTGCATTACATTCTGAATAATCCTCGTAGTTACATAAATTGTAAATGTTGAGTTGCTATTATATTAAATTATTTATAAATGTTCATTGTTATAATTGTAGTTATATTATTTTATCTTTGATGTCCGCTTCATCGCACAATTCTAAATATCAATTTGATTCGGAGATCAATAAAATTATATACAGTATTTTAAACATGTCTTTTTAATTGGATCATACACTAAACACTCTTTTGTAGATATATTTTATGTTTTAATGAATATTTAACATGTAAGTATTCCAAATTCATTTATATTTTTATATAAATTCATATAAATTATCCAATAGAAAATAGTTGGTTTGGTCTTATTCGTATACGAAAACGCGACACCTGGGCGATCTGCCGAGAGGTGATGTGATGCCTCTCGGAAGATCTTTCATGGGTAACTGACCTCCATTTTAGGTGTTAAACACGTGAATAAAATCTGGAGGTGTGGAAATCGGTGGTTGCTGTGCAGAGATGGTGGCGTACAGTAACTTTCCATCCACCCTGTAGATCATCTTAAGATACATCGATTTGCCAGAATAATGTACACTTCTACGTCAATTTGACAATATTTTTGCATTTTTTTTCTAACGGTAAAATGTAACAGTGACGTCAATTTGACTTAAGAGACTGATAAAATGATACACAATGTTATTGTTATTTAACAAGTTAATAACAAGAAAGATGTGAAATTTCTATAAATTATATTCTAACAATACACATATTTTTTCATAAATAGAATTAAAATTCTGGCAATTTTTATTTAATCAATAATTAAAATATGTTCAGTTATTATTATTATTATTTACACATATAACAATATTTAATAGATGGATTGTCGTCTTATACTTATTTAATTGACCCGACAAACGTTCCAGCTAACGAAACATCAATTAGGTAACTTGATTAAATATAATTTATGTGCTGTATACTTACGTATTTCGATGATACGGAAATCAAACTGTATAATTATAAAGATTAATTAGGATTAAGCTGCAGATTGTGAAGAAAATAAAAAAAAACTTCTAATTAATTGTCAGTTTAGCCATTCCAAAATATCAGTGACAATTTTTTCCAGTTTGCCCCTCTATCCCCACCTCAATGATTCCTGGTTACGGGACTGGAACAACTCAGCACTGCTAGGATTTGGGAATCTTAAGAGAATGGATGCGAAGCAGATAACAAAGAAATAGTGTGATAAATACGAGATGAGCAGATCTATATGTAAATGACTAGAGCATGTGGATGAATACCTGAAAGAAATAAGTTTAAAGAACAAAGGGGAATGTAAAAGAGGCAAAGATAGAGGGGTGCGTATGAAATAAGTGAAATTATTCACCCCATGATTGAGAGTGGAGGCAGAGTGGAGGCCTTATCCTTTCACTCTGCCTCCACTCTCAATCACACAACACATAGGCGATCTGCTTGTTGAGAGGACTTTTAATGAAAAACTCCCTATTCGGGTCTTAATTAAGGCAGTATCCAATAATTCTTTTAAATCGAAAATTCGTATTCTGAGATTTCGAGTCTGTAACTTTAAATCAGTGTTTCCCAAAATTTTGACATCCATGCACCTTTGGTAAATATTTGTAAGTACCGAATACCCTTTGTCAAAAATGCTTTTGCAATTACCCAAATTGGAAACTTTCACAACTTGAGTAGGAGAATACGAATTCTCCTACTCTAGTTGAATTATGTATGAAGTATATGATTTATTTGGAAGTATATATGTTTAAAATCATCCTTTACTATAGTATTTTTGTAATAATGATTTTGTCACACTGGTACTGTACAGTACATAAACGAAAATTACCACGCGCCATCTGAAGGCCTTTCGCGTAACAGGGGAAAACACTACTCAAGATAAAAAGTCGTAACACAGCTCTTCACTTTGATTTAAGTTCTCTAAATGCGTCATGACGTGTCGTGAGAATTTACGTACGCAAACTAGCAATTTCAAAGCAAATTGTGCAATAGATTCTAACAGTGAAAAAAGCTGTAGCGAAATGTTTTGAGAGAGAAATATTTTAGAAATAGTTGGAAAATATTAAAATGTCTTAGAAAATAACGAGCAATTATTTATTGTGACATCATCACAATGCCGGGTTGCAATTTTTCGTCACAAATGTGCTCTCAATTTTAGTCGTGTCTTGCCTCTCTACATCTTACGTTTCCTGTTAACAATAAAGTCATACCGGTTATCTAACTCCGTTCAACAGAAAACATTTGAATTGAAATAACTTGACTTTAGGATCAAATCAAACATTCTTATATAGTTAATAACCTTTTGCTTCTAAACTTTCCATTTCTTGACTCGACGTACAGTACATCTATCTAACTCTGTTCTCGAGATTAAGAAGGACAGACAGACAGATAGACTGACTGAATTTTACAGGTCTACAATTTTGAAAATTGCAGCCCTAATAACTTTCAAACAATGATCACTTCCGAAAGACGGCCAGTGCGTATGCTCTAATCATGCCGTTGTTAAGAGGTTTGACTATAATTTCATATTTAAAAAAAATTAATTTTGAAAAATGCTGACGAAAATATGTTTCTGATACACTGACTTGTCTTCATTAAATTTTATACCTTTTAACAAATGTATTCATTTCTGATAATTCGAATAATTTCTGAACTTAGCGATTTACAAATTACTTTAAATGTACAATGGAAATTATAACAGCATACAGAAAAATTAATGTAATCTATACTAATATTATATAGAGGTAAAGTTTGTAAGTTTGGATGTAGGAGGTAATCTCCGAAACTACTCATCCGATTTCAAAAATTCTTTCACCAATATTTAGAATGAATCTTTAGGATGGACACGGGCTGTATATTATTTCGTTAAACATTCATATAAATTAAAAGATATCATCTAGGTAAGCGTTATATTTTAGGTCTCAGCGAGTCGCGAGGGGCAAGACGCGTACGTATACTAGATAGGTAACTGCGCGGCGCAGTCGCGTGGTCGGCGAGATACGCAGTACACGTGTCTGAACTTGTATGTTATATAGATGTCGAAATTACCCCTCCGCGGGAGAGAGACAAAATTAAGGCTTACCGTGAAGAATTCGGTTTCTATTATACTATTTTATATGCGGTTTTTTGCGATTTTTCATTGCGTTTTAATAGGGTATGTCAACAGTATGTACACTAAGAAGGGATTTTCCGAAATTTTCTCCCGCGGGGAGTGTTATACATTTATAATAGATACATTTTGAGCCACAGCAACGCGTGACCGGGTACAGTTAGTTTACCATAAAGTTAGTATAATATATAATGGAAAACAGACAAATCATGAAATTACTATACTATAAAACTATAAACTGTATGCTTCTTTAGCAAGACTCTGTGATGGAAACACTCTAAGTATGTACGATTGATTGAATATTGCAAATTTTCATGTAAATATGGCGTCAGATTGGCATAAAATATACTCTATCTCAGCCGATCCATCAGACATATTCTTGCCGTTGTAGAGCGTTGCCATACGATCACACAGTAGTTTTATATTGCAGTAATTTCATGACTGATTCAGTGGCGCGTTATAGCTTCATGGGGCCCAGACAAATTTTGATTACGGGGCCCCAAGTACAGTAGTGTTGACTTCAGACATTTTTTTTGGGGAAATTTTTTGGAGAAAATATTCTCTTGGAAAAGATTGGTTTGGCACTCCCTGTTGTTGGGGGATCCACGCAGTTGCCCTTTTTGCTCATAGGATAACACGCCACTAGTCTGACTTGTTTGCATTCGATTATCGTTTGTAGCGCTATAGTGACCATATATTTAACCAAACGAACAGAATCCATTTAATGGCTAGATTGTCTCTACGCCATTTTGCATCACCATTGGTACACAATGACATACAGTCACAAGTAATCTTGTTTTCTACGTAGAAAATAATACTTATAGAGAAGATAGAACTAAATTTTTAATTATTCTTAATTTTACAGAAATAAATGGAGCTTTCTGAAAAATTTCTAATGAGCTGTTCTTCTATATTTACAACAAAAGAACAAAATGCTCCACAACAAATATAAAAGCAATTACAAAACATTAAAGAAAAAGTCGAATGAATATATAACATTTGGAACTTCATCTTTATATAACAATATGAGAAATAAGATAAAAGGTAAATATAAAAAAGAAAATTCAGAAAGTTACGTTCTTACTCCAAGCTTAGAATTTCTAGAAGAAGAAGAAGAAGAAGAGTTAAATAAGGGTTCTGAATTAAATTTAAATCCGAAAAAATCCAAGATCAAAGCAATTAAAAATATTAATTCCTATCTGTCAAAAATAAGTTTAAATACTAAAAAAAGAAAGAAATTATTCAGTGACTTAATTATTCTTTTAAGAAATTTATTGGAGGAAGAACGAAAGGAAAAGTTTCAAAGATTACGTGATTTAGAAATTGTTAAAAATACAAAACAACAGTGCAAGGGAATGGTAAAAAATATTCTGTTAAATATGCTGATGGATGAAGAAAATGGCGAATCAATCAAATTAATAACAAAAGGAGAGAATGATAACCTTTATGAAGATGAAAAGAATTATGTTGACGAGCAAACAAATATGGATTTTCATATAATACGGCACTCCGATAGTGTTATTGATGTTGAAGGATCAAAATCGAAGAAAGAACTCTCCAAATTTAAAAAATCATTTGCTAAAAGTTTCAGAATATCATCCGAAGATTTAGAAAGAGGGAAAAATTCAATTTCCTATCAAAATTCAAAAAAATCAATTTTCCTTAATTCGAAGTCTTCAAAACCATTCTTCTTGAACATAGATAAAAATGTTTTGAGAATTAATAGCAAGATTATTTCTGGAAATTATAGAAATAAGGACTTGAAATCTATAATACTGAAAATTGAGCCGTTAAATTCTAAAGAGAATTTGGATGTAACAAAATTGAAAATTACTGAAGTGCCTGTTAAAGACGTTGGCTGTTCAGAAACCTCTCCAGTAAATAATATATTAAATTATGGAGAGAATATTAATAAAATTCACGCAAAAAATGGAAATAAGTCTACTATTGTCAAGGTACCAACATCAGGAAAACAACAAAATAAGTTGGAAATAAGCAGAGATTCTATTTTAATCACTGTACCATCTTTGGAATTTCATTGCTTGACTTTAGAAGATCTATCTCAAGAGAAGTGGGCTAAAATATTCGAAAAAATTGACAAAATTGTACCCTTATCCAGAAGAAAACAACCTTTGATCATAGTGTTGCTTGCAGATGCAAATTATTCGAACGAAGACTATGACAATGATGATTCTAAAGAAGCATTTCAAACTTCAGTATCCCAATTAATTCTTCAAGAGGAAATTCTTGATGATTTTTCATTTAATTATATAAGCGAAACGCCAAAAGTAATAGTGGTTCCTTCTAAATCCAAGCATACTTTAGTTAAAATCGATGCAGAAGAAGCCAGAATACCGATAGTACAGAGAAATTCAGAATATCCATTCAATACTTCATCCAAACAGAATAATCTTTCAGAAAATCTAATAGAGGACATAAATTGTACAGATTATACTATTGATAACACTCCAGAAAATTTAATTGTAGAAGATTTTGGGGGAATTATTACAGGAAAATCTTCAGATTTTGAAGTCGGTGCTAAGAAACGAGCTAAAATTACCAAACCTTCGGATCCTCTTGCTGCTTCGCTTAAGTTTGACTCTACAGGATTGCCACCGCTGAAAATTGAGATAGAAAGAAACGCAAGGAGGAGACAAAGATATAAAGACGAAAAAGAAAGTAAAATCTCGACAGAACGTAGGACCTATGGAGAAAAATTGACAGAATTATGCAAATGGAGACTGGCTTTGGCTGTCATTGAAGAAGGATTTGAAGAAACGTTCGAAGACTGTTTGATGGTTGGATTGAATCAAATAAAAGACGATAATAAAAAAATTATGTTAAGAAATCTTAACCGAAATAAATAAATTATTTAAAATTTTTATTTATTCGTCAATAGTTAGTTCATATTTTGGTTTTCGTTGTTTTGTATCTTTTCAGTTAAAAATCCAGCAACGAGTTGCTTAACTTTCCCGGCAACATTTGGTGGAGCCATCTGTTATCATATTTTACTGTATTATTAAACATATTTTATATTTTTGACTATTATAAAATGGCAAAAAGCTTAATTCTAAGGGTAGGGATGGTTTTATAAAAAATTGTAAATTCTAATAACGAGTAAAATTGTCATTAAGTCCGGCCCTATTAGAGATACACACGACCCTCTTTATCTCCCCACCCTCAACCTTTAATCAACAAAATTTAATAGCATCAATCTTCCAAATAAACTAATTTCCCTGCAAAATTTTAGAAATTTCCGACAAAAAGCACAGGAGTTATGAAGCTTAAAAAAGGGTAAACAAAATCATAAATTATTTTCTATCATTAGAGGATTGGATTAATGTGATAAGACAACGCAATACATAAGCGATCTGTCAAGAAGGATTGCCTTTCGGGAGAACTTATATGGAAAACTGGTCCCTATTAGGTATTAGATACGTAAAGAAACCTGGAGAATTCCATACGGCCAGCCCGTTGGTGAGGCGGGTACCCGCGACAAACTACAATTTTCGTCAGTTTTATGCCCTCGAACACTGGTAAGTGGCACTAAGAAGTCTTTTAAATCAAACCTATCGCGGGTTCAGCCAAGCCTACAATGAGCGCAGCTGGGTGGTATGGGATAGGACCCAATGTATCCGGAACACACCACCCCGAACAATCCCTGTGGTGTTTTCGACAGCTCAGATTTGATTCCGGGTCCTCAAGTGCACTAAATTAACGTATCAACACTCTGTCTATCCGTCAGTCAATAATATGGGTCTCGACTGAGTTGACTCTCCATAATTTATAATGGATAACAGGCTAAATAGGTGTTTGAACTTGCACACGGCAGTAGACTAATCCTTTCTGTTACAAGACCCAATTAATCAGTTAGGATTCACACATTACATTATTTAGGCTCGATAAAGTTACAACTAATTGAAATTCTAGTTGTATTGAATGACATTAAAAAGACATATTTAATTTAACAGTGCAGCATATATTATGTCGTCAAGTTTATCAGTTTAAAGCCGTACGTTCACGCAGTGGCGCGCCCTGGGGCAAGGGACCCTGGCCTCTCTAAAAAGAAGGAAAACAAAGAGTAGATAAGCAGCCCACTGTCGTCCGTCTGTCTGTCTTTCCCGAATCTCAGAGTTAGATAGATGAGCATCGAAACTAGGAGAGAAAGCATAGGGGCAGGAGGCTCCGATTAACTGTATAGGAACTTCTATGTAAATCTGAAGTCACGTTATTTCAATTAAAGAATTTTCCCCTGAAAGCAGTTATAGATGACCGATACTACTTTATTGTTAAAGGAAAAGTATAATGTACAGGGGTAAGCCACTACTAATTTGATGTGAAATATTTTAAATTAAATAAATTTAAAATATGGTTAAAATTTGAGGCCCGGCATTGTGACGATGTTACAATACATAATTGCTTGTTGTGTAATAAATATTTATTGCATAATGGAAATTTTTAACTTATTATTTGATCATTTTCTCAAATTTTAGGTGAGTAATTGTATATTCACTACACCATATATATAGTTATCAAATTTATATTTCTCCAATAATTTTTATTTGCCAGTGGCCAAGTAGATAAAATCACTGAACCAATATTTTCATTTTTTTAGTAGTAGCACTTCTATCCAGTAATTTTTTATACTCTTAATCAGTGTAGTTATTGCACTTTTTGTACTATTTGAATTTCGTACATGTAAGAAATGTTAAGGCGCTGCTCAGCACCATCTTCTTGGCATTCTGGTATGCTGCGAAGAAAACTTGTGCACTGAACATATTCGAAAATCCTCACGGAAGGCATCTCCCTTTGGCAGATCGCCCATGTATTACCTTGCTTTAAGTATTATATACATGTTATTAAATCCTATTTGAAATCTGCATCACAAATACAAAAACTTAATGTAGAATCTTCTTGAAGCACTTCCTGTGAATTGAATTGAATTGATGGAATAAGGCAAAGCAATATATGAGCGAGCTGCCAAGGAGAATGCACCTCCTGAAGGACTTTCTGTAAAAAATTGTCCCCTACTTACTTGTTAGGTATTAGAGACGTAAAGAAACCCCAGAAAACTCCACGTGGTTGTTGAGGTGAGAACCCTCAACCAACTACTAGTGTTCCGTGGTTTTACTCGCCCGGCCACTGATGGGCAAAAAAGATAATTTTTGTTATTTCAAATATAAAGATCATATTATATTTTGAGATACCATGAAGTGTTGACACTAGACACTAGACTTTTTCACATCACTTGACAACAGTTTATGATGTCTCAAAATATAACATAAAGAAGGATACGGTTTCAACACAGAAAAGATATTAACATCATAATTAAAATCATTCTTTTTATGTAGAAAAAAGAAAATGGAGAAATCTAATGATTTATCAAACGACAAAATAAGAATTTTAAAACGCTTAAAGAATATTGGACAGGAAATGACCGAAGAAGATAAAACTGAACAGAATGGAAGAAACGACTCAGGAAATTTAGAATCTTCACCTTCATCTAGTAAGATAGGAATTTCGAATATAAATGCTATAACTAAAGGAGAAGTCGATTCTGAAGATTCTGAAAGTCATTCGCTTACTTCTAGCCTAGAGTTTCTGCATAAAGAATTTGATCGTAACTCGAATTATTCAAAACGAACCCCAAAATTACAGGAAAATCTAAAATATATTTCAGAAAACTCAAATCAATCTAACGAGACAGTAATTAGAAGAATAAAATCGTATCTGTCAAAAAGTAATTTGGACAGCAAGAAAAAGCAGAAACTGTTCCAAAATTTATTTTTAACTTTTAAAAATTTGTTAGAAGAGGAAAAGAATAAAGAAACGAGTGACAAACAATATAATGATGGAACTGAAAATCAGTCGTTAAAGCTAGAAGATGGCAATGCGAATTCTGTAATTAATAAACCTGTAAATATACTTCAAGCTGAAGAAAATAGAATTTCATCCACTTTTGAAAGTAAAGAGTGGTGTAAGCAGTCTTCTGGAAATGAAGTTAAATTGAAGAATTTAATGAATTTAGAAAAACATAATTTAACGAAACCTAAATTACCGCAAAGAAAAAAATTCGACAGAAATAACTACAATTCAGAAAATTCTGAAAGTTCCAGCGATACCGCAAAAAATCAAGAAACAGTGGTATATAAAAATTCGGAATTATCAGTTTTGCCTGTATTGAAACAACCAACTCCTTTTTATCACATAGGCAAGAATATCCTTAGCATCGATACTGAAACAGTTCCTTCAGTTTATGGTAATAAAGGCAAGAATTTGAAATCTGTCATTTTGAAGATAGAACCAACAGATGCGGATGATAATTCACAACCTGTTAGAATCGAAGTGAGTCAAGTTTCTCCAGAGGAAAAGAACTTTAAAAACTCCTCCATAGGAAATGTATTAGCTCCTTTCACAAAGGAAGATACTAATGTAATTTTGTTACCTTCAGAAAATCGTGATCTGACACAGGAAATGGATGATACAAAACATGTGCCACTTAATAATTACAAATATGTCAGTAAACAATCTAGTACGATTTTTCCTATAAATAAAATTCTCGCCTCAGGAGGACTCACGAAGAAGCCTACTGTTATTGCTATATCAGCAACGGAAGACCTTCAAGAGAGAAAAATATCAGAGAATGGATCAACGATTTTAATTGTTCCTCCACTTCGGGAATTTCAAAACTTAAATGTAGAGGATTCATCCCAACAGAAATGGGTTAAAATGGCCAAAAAAATCGCCGAGACATTGCCTCCTTCTGGAAAAGAACAACCTATGATTGTAGTTTTGCCTTCAGATAACAAATGTGACGATTTCGAAGAAATTGTCCAATCTCTCGTTTTTACGTCATCTTTATCGGAACAGATTCAAGAAGGAGAAACAATTCATGACTTTTCATATACAAATGCAAGTACCGAATTACCAACAGTAGTAGTACTTCCATCCAAATCGCAGCATACTCTAGTTAAAATTAATACAGAAAATCCTAGAGTACCAAAGGTACAGAAAAATTATGAATATCCACTTGGTTCTGTATCAATGGATAATTTTAAAGACAAACGGATTGCTGTGGAGCACCCTCTAATGCCAATTAATCAGAAAGATCCAGAGTATCTTGTCGAAGCAAAACATCCTGGAGTACGTAAGATGCAAAAGACTCCAGAACATTCATCCGGTTCAAAAAATGTAAACAATCCTTCATCAGAAGATGAGAGTGTATCATTTCAAGATACAAAACAGAACGTCTCAGATCCACTTTCCGCTTCGCTTGGATTCGATTCCAGCGGTTTGCCCCCGCTAAAAATTGAAATTGGAAGAAATGTCAAAGGAAAGAAAAAGCCGAAAGGAAAACTAAAAAGTAAATTTACGGATGATACGACTTACGGTGAAAAATTGACAGAGCAGTATAAATGGAGAATGGCTATGGCAGCGGTTGAAGAGGGAGTTGAAGAAACAATCGAGGATTGTTTAATGGTTGCGTTGAATCAGAAGAAAGATAAAAGAGAGAAATTGGTAGAGAGGATGGCATTTCCAAAATAAAATATTCGTATTGAATTAATTTATTGTTAAATATTCCACGAATTAAAAATTCAATATTTGTAAATTAAATGCAATTTTGTAAAATTAATCCATCTTTCGGCATGAGTTAAATTAAGCCTTAAATTACCATTTACGCCGTTACATTAATTTTTTATTTATAGTAATTTCTAAACAAAATATCATTATTATCTTGAAAATTAGTGATGTAAAACTCTCATTTTCGTTAGAACGTACTTTAAATTAGGGACAAGAGAGAGGAATCGATAGCTTCTATTTAGAATAAAATAAATTTTATGTTCCGTTGATCAATTTACATATCAAGCTGTACATTTTATGAGGTTATTAAGCAATTTATAAATTCAAAACAATTTAATTTGTAACGAAAGAAAAATAATTTTCTTATAATATTTTGCTTTCTTCATCAAAAAAGGATACCAGAGAATGTAGAGTGAAGAAAATCTTAGAATTAGCCTACATTTCTTATGATTATTTATATATTACTTTAGATATACTGTATGTGCATGAGATATATCCGATAGTACAGTCTGATAGATATGTTGTTTCCGTAGATTTCATATTAGTACACTTATTCATTGATGTAACTCATTAGAGTGCAGACGGAGAGAACGAGAATATATGGCGAGAAGAGGTGATGACGTTTCACGCTTTCTCTCTCGCTTCTTCTCAGTTTATATGGAGAATTTAGCTCTATTTAGGCTCTTTCTCCGAATGACGTTATTGATCGCTATGCGACCGATAAGCCAGCCGTATCCGAACGGCCTAAACACGCGCGCGGGGAAAGAATGTCTTCCGGGAGGAGTTTTATGGGAAACTGGCTTCCTATTTAGTCGTTATTGGCAAGGAGAAAACCCGGAAAACTCCAAGCAGCCAGACTGTCCGACCGAACTTCCCAGAGTTCAGTGTACGAAGACCGCTCGGCCACTGATGGGCCCATGCTTTCTCTTTTTACTCGCTCGCTTTCGTTAAGTACGACTACACGGTAAGCAAATGGGAGGACCCAACGAGGTCCGAAAGGAGGCATTCAACGACTTTTTAAACAAATCACGTTTCATAACGCGAAAGAACGAAATCAAAGGTCTGAAATAAACAATGAAAGATTTTTTTGTAAAAGGAGTTAAAACAATTGTTAGATCATAGTCGAGGAAAACGAGGCCGGAGAGGAGTCGTGTTCGGTCTCAAAGTTGATCTCTCACGCACCCTTCGAAGGGTTTCGAATTGTTACCATGTGACGATGGGAGACCAATGGAGGTGCGACATCGGTTGAAAAATCCATAAAACTGCGTTTTCAAGGACATAAAAAGTTCTTGGTTTTGTATTCAAAACGTTCCTTTCGCGGAATTTTCGTGCTCCCGTCCCAACATTAGCGAAAGCAGAATCGACAGTTCGAAATTGACTTCGACGGCTAACCCAGAAGGTCGCCCAGGTGTTTCCCGATGACGACCATCCTTCCCAAGTGTGCAGTACGCCCCGGGGCCATCGCTTTCCACATCGATTAACCGGTAGCTCATCGTTCGTTTGGACAATTGACTCTTTTTATAGTACGGACTGGTTCGCCTTTGGATAGGCCTTACGCCGATTGTAAAGAGTAGATTAAGCATCATTTCTATGTTTAGTAAACGGTTTACGATGGAAACCTCAGTGAATCCTAACACTCCCACACGACGGAGTTGACCGCTCGGCTCTCGGAAGACTCCTTACGCCAATCGGCTAACCTCACACAAGTGGCATAGAGATGATGACGTTACATGTTCGCTTACCGGCTAATTGGATCTTTTCCGCTATTTTATTCCTTTTTGACATTAAAATGTTTCGATCCCTGTGATCAGGAAGACATTTGCCTACATTTCCGGCGAGAATAAACCGTATTAATTAATTTTTGTTTTACAGCCAATCCACCGACTTGTTCACTGAAAGAAGCCATTTTATACTCCTGTATCAAGGTGCACGCACTATATTCAGCGAAAAGAGGCGAGCCGTGATAAATATCAAACTATCAGATATTTGCAAGAGCCAGAAATTCGCTCTGGACAGCGAGATTTCTCGCTTGTGCATTCTTTCCTTTGCGATAACTATCCTTTGAAACCTCCCGCTCGCTACTAGATTCACGCTTTTAGATAAAGTTCTAGTTATTGTAGAGGAGGGAAGAATAAGGGATTAATTTTAGACACTTGAAAGGTTGCGACCGTCGTTTTCAGCCCAAAACGTGTACGTCGGACGTTCGAGCGCCATTATCTGGCAATTGTAGAAGGCAATTGTGAAGGTTCGCTACGTCTAGCATGTCGAGTAGAAGATCTGTTTAAACTTCTTCATTTTTTTTGTGTTTCGGGTTAAAATTATGACGAATTTTATTTAAATAATGATTATTTAAGCATTTATGAATAATATTGTAAAGAAACAGACGATTTTAATCCAGAAATTATTTAATTATTCAATTTTTTGCAAGTGATGTGAAGTACCTATAGAATTTACATACACAGTATTTGATTTAATTTGTATTTAATTTGAAAGTAAATACATTATATAAGTTATTTCACCATTAATTTGCAGAATTATAACAGATTATACAATCGAATTTCTTATGATATAGCTTACTGTAGATGAAATCATAAAAATTTTAGACGAACTTGAACTTCAGACCCTTAAAACTATAAAAATGAAATTCGAAAAATTCGACTAATTGGGAGTTTCTAGATTTATCAAGAAATTTTAATGGCAATCGATCAAAATATAACCCCCAAGATTTTTTTCATTTTTGTACTCAGAGGACCGTGAAACGCCGAGAAATAAAAAAAATTGTGTTTTTTCTCCTCTATGTACGGATATTAGTGTGTGTATAGCACTATTTTGCTCACCCAATATAAAGCTTAAAAACTCCTGTGCTTTTTGTCGAAAATTTCTGAAATTTTCAGGGAGGTTTGTATATTAGGGGGATTGATGCTGTTAAATTTGGATGATTAAAAGTCTACCGGGTGGGGAGATAAGGGGGTCGTGTGTCTTATCTCGAATAGTGCCCGACTTAATGACGATTTTACTCGTTATTAGTATTTACAAGTTTTTTTTTAAATAAAACTCATCCCTACTCTGAAAATTAAGGTTTTTGTCATTTTATAATAATTAATAATAAAAGAGTTTTTAAATAAAATTTCATAACAGATGGCACCAAAAACGATTTTAGCTTATTGCCGTGAAAGTTACTATTTCGTTACTGGATATTTTTGTTTCTTTCGAAATACAGTATAAGATTTTCCTGATTTAAATTTAATTCCAAACATTCAAGACAGATGAAATTACATTAATCAAAATTGGCAATTTTAAGAGGAATCGTTACGACATTTAACAGTGAATTACAGCAATATGACACATAATAACGAATAAATATATTTATTATATAGGATTGATAAACGTTGGAAATCAAATAGAAAATTGAAAAAATTCGAATAAAAAAAATGTAAATTTGGCGAGAATATCAATTACATAATGTTAAGATTTAAAATCATAATTGTGTCACCATCTGTTGATTAATAAATAAATTAATTTTTTCGTATACTGTATTTTCGTTAGTAGTTTTCATTCTTGGAAAATTTCGCTGTTTTTATTTTCTTTATACAGGTATACCTCGAGTTACGTCGTTTCGAGTTACGTCGTTTGTCAAAAAAATATATGGAAAAATAAAAATCAACTTTAAGTCATTTTATTCGACTTTACGTCCATCCGCCACAAATATTGAAGTCGTAATATCATTAGAAAAGCGTTAAAACACATAAAATCATATTAAAATATGTACATTTACAGTAATCGTTAATACTGTATAATAATCATATATCCTAGAGAACGAAACATGAAAACATTTGTGTTTCTGTGTTGTCGTCTTATTTAGCGGTCTTTAAGCGCTCAATATTGGTATTTTTAGTGATAAGTAAATTCGGAGACAAGTAAATTCGACTTACGTCGTTTTTCGACTTAAGTCGCCTCTCCTGGAACCAATTACCGACGTAAGGCGAGGTATACCTGTAAATACAGTATTATGAAGAATGTAGTTTATTTCATTTTTTGAAATTTTTCATCAAAGTCTGAAGTACGGCAACTTCAAAAGTGAAGTTTTATAAAAAGTTTATATTAGTTGCTCTAATGCTTCCATTGTTTTTAAAAATCTTAATTAATAACTAAAACGTTTTAGGATTTTTAGGCTTTATTAGAAGTATTAATTTACATCTGATATGGAAGTAATTGATGTTTTAGTTTGGTAATCCCACTTTGACAAACGACAAAAATCTCGCCTAGTCTTGAAATAATCATAAAATATTAGCCTTAAGGGAGTCGGCAACCTTTCAGCAGTGTTGTGCCGAACCTAATTTATACCGGGTGCGGACATGATTCTGCCAATTTTGTTATATCAAAATTGGCAAAATATCAATTATCAAAATTGTTCCTGTTATAATAGACTTCAAAAATATATAATTTTGAAGTTAAGTTGTTAATTGAATATTAATTGAATTGAAGCGCATGCACAAAACGTAGATGGCGATACAGAACGTAAACACATGCACTGTAATATACATATACAAGCAAGAGATTCGTTTTTACCACGGACTACACTGAACTAAGGCTTCCATTTAAACGTATACTTAATAATAGAGAGGTTGAGGCGCACGTTTTAAACGTGTAAACGTGTACGTGTGACGTTCGGCGCCGCTTTCCCGTAAGCCTAAAAGTTTGACAATGGTGTTTGGATAGTCGGTGGAATCACGCTCGACATTCCAAACACCATCGTCAAACTTTTAGGCTTACGGGAAAGCGGCGCCGAACGTCACACGTACACGTTTACACGTTTAAAACGTGCGCCTCAACCTCTCTATTATTAAGTATACGTTTAAATGGAAGCCTTAGTTCAGTGTAGTCCGTGGTAAAAACGAATCTCTTGCTTGTATATGTATATTACAGTGCATGTGTTTACGTTCTGTATCGCCATCTACGTTTTGTGCATGCGCTTCAATTCAATTAATATTCAATTAACAACTTAACTTCAAAATTATATATTTTTGAAGTCTATTATAACAGGAACAATTTTGATAATTGATATTTTGCCAATTTTGATATAACAAAATTGGCAGAATCATGTCCGCACCCGGTATAAATTAGGTTCGGCACAACACTGCTGAAAGGTTGCCGACTCCCTTAAGGCTAATATTTTATGATTATTTNCTTTAAGCCAACGACTACCACACTAGTAATTCGGTACACGGGGGAAGAAATATATGCGACGGTTTGCATATAATTTTGTACATATTCATTTCAACTTGCACAACCCGGAGAAATATTAATTAACCCCGGAGCCCGGAGATAACTCACTCAATCCCGGAGTCTCCGGGTCGAACCCGGACAGGTGGCAACCTTAATTTTGGCCCAGTTAAGTGGCTGCCCCAATTAAACGAACTAATAATAAATTCTATAATAAAATATGTAATACGTAGGTAAATATATAAATAGATAAAAAATAATAATTAGGGACCTATTTTAATGCTTTATTAAACCGAAATATAGAAAATATTTATACTATAAATTTGCCAGACTCACGATGATAGATAACTAATTCGCATGCTAGTGTTGCCAAATATTAGTAATGACGTAAAAAAGGGTTCACCATTTCGATCCGTTCCTGATCGAACAATTTTTCCTTTCTTTCTTTTTAGTTAGAATATGTTCTAACTAAAAAGGGAGAAAAAAAGCGTTCCTCCAAAACTCATTTTACGGTCTTTCTTTGAGCAATGTTTTCTTTACTTGGAGATGGACCACTTCAGCGGAAGTGTCCTTAGAATCCGCCAGCTCGATGCTGGTCTCAACAATCGGATGGCTGCCGTCTGAATCTAGACGTAATTATGCACACAATACCTTCCAAGGAAATTCTAGCTGTCTTCCAATTCAGTCGAGAAGCCTCGAAAAACTGTCCGGCGATCTTTGTCCCTTCGCTTTTGAGAGGATCGTTCGGCCCAATCCAGAGCAGGGTCAGACAAAATCCCCGTGTGATCCCTATGCTGACCTCTTCCGGAAAAACCGAATTGCCCAAGCAAAAGACAAAATCGCTTTGTCTCTGACAACCGTTAGGCCTACACGACATTAGTGTACGTAGGCCTACATATTTTCGGAAGATTACTAAAATATATCAAAAATTGGTAAATTCCTTTTCTGCTACTGCCCCAATTAAGCGATTAAATTATGTATTAATTTATTAGTTTGGTTTTCGTTCTTTGAGATTTGGCCCAATAAAACGGCTGCGTCTCAGTTAAGCGAAATCCACTTTATATACAGTACTGTAATAGGTTTTGCATCTATAAAATTTTTCGTAACAAATATAAATTTATTAACTGTCTTGCTGTTTTCATTTTAATATTCAGGACATTAATTTAATACCGGTGTATAATTTCCATATGTCGATATGTCCTTTACAGTGTGGTTCTGGTTACGTTCAATCATATAGGTTAAATTAAATCTAAATAGAATTTTAATCGTCACTAGAGGGCGGTAGGTTTATAACCACAAGACCACGTGGAAGTTATCGTATATTTTGAAGTGGAAATATTTAAATCAATATAAACTTTAAAAATATATTAAACTTTCATGTCTGCAAATTAAATTATTAAAATACGCGGTATTAATCTGCAGTGAAGCAAGACTTCCGGCCCAAATACTTTTAGAAATGACTATACTTTTAACGACATAAATAAGTGCAAATAAAATAAAATTTAAGTTCGAATTTTGAAATGCGCACAACCCAGCTCACTGTTATATAGAATTTATTTTGACAGGTAGGGTTAAGTAGTAATAATGTAATTGGATTTTATATTTTGCGCAGACGATCTATTGTTGCATTTTCTGCCCCCCATGACGGCTCTTGATGTGGTCACACCGTTCGCACCACCCTAGGGCCGCCATTGTCTATGATAAATAGAGGAAGATCCTTATATGAACTGTTGATTTTGAAAGTGGGGAAAGTCCATGTTATGTTATTGCTACATATTTAATGGTTTGTATTTGAATGGATTTTAAAAAATTCGTAAACAGTAATAGACTTATTCTATATTTTTTAGTCTTATTTCATGTAAATTTAATATGCAATAATGGTTATCCGTGTTAGGTGAAAAAAATCATGGTTTTGGTATGTGTCAATGGACTTTCCTCACTTTCAAAAAGCAACGATTTGTTGAAAACGTTGATATGTTTTAAATGGAATGTAATTATAATAATAAAAATCGAATATTTTATTTGTCTACTTATTTATTTTATTTCAACATTTTATACTTCTTTCGAAAAGTTACAATAAAACAAAAAAATAAATTTAATTTTATAGGAAAATGTGGATAAAATAAGAAAAAATATTCAGTGATAAGTTGCCTGCATAAACAGTCGATTCCGCTTAATTGGGACACATTGGGACTAATCCATTTTGGCTAGGGTTGCCATGTTTTTAAAATCACTGACCCGGACGGCAGGTGAGGTTTGTTCGAACAGAAGTTCCTGACGCATGCGTATATAATTTTGCAATGCGAAGAATAATTTGCAGTGCATGCCGGTTCTAAATCAGTTACAGTTAGCGACTAGGGAGACTTGGATTGGAGTAATGCAAGTGACTCTATTGGATATTGGAGGTGTATATGATTACGAATGAACAGTACAAGCAAATAAAAAAAAAGGTCGGCAGGTTACGCACGATATCCCCGGACGGCGAGTCGGATGGTAACACTATTCTGTGCTCATTTCAATCGGACTCCCCTGCCGCCCCCGTACGTTACGCTACTGTCTTTAAGCCAACGACTACCACACTAGTAATTCGGTACACGGGGGAAGAAATATATGCGACGGTTTGCATATAATTTTGTACATATTCATTTCAACTTGCACAACCCGGAGAAATATTAATTAACCCCGGAGCCCGGAGATAACTCACTCAATCCCGGAGTCTCCGGGTCGAACCCGGACAGGTGGCAACCTTAATTTTGGCCCAGTTAAGTGGCTGCCCCAATTAAACGAACTAATAATAAATTCTATAATAAAATATGTAATACGTAGGTAAATATATAAATAGATAAAAAATAATAATTAGGGACCTATTTTAATGCTTTATTAAACCGAAATATAGAAAATATTTATACTATAAATTTGCCAGACTCACGATGATAGATAACTAATTCGCATGCTAGTGTTGCCAAATATTAGTAATGACGTAAAAAAGGGTTCACCATTTCGATCCGTTCCTGATCGAACAATTTTTCCTTTCTTTCTTTTTAGTTAGAATATGTTCTAACTAAAAAGGGAGAAAAAAAGCGTTCCTCCAAAACTCATTTTACGGTCTTTCTTTGAGCAATGTTTTCTTTACTTGGAGATGGACCACTTCAGCGGAAGTGTCCTTAGAATCCGCCAGCTCGATGCTGGTCTCAACAATCGGATGGCTGCCGTCTGAATCTAGACGTAATTATGCACACAATACCTTCCAAGGAAATTCTAGCTGTCTTCCAATTCAGTCGAGAAGCCTCGAAAAACTGTCCGGCGATCTTTGTCCCTTCGCTTTTGAGAGGATCGTTCGGCCCAATCCAGAGCAGGGTCAGACAAAATCCCCGTGTGATCCCTATGCTGACCTCTTCCGGAAAAACCGAATTGCCCAAGCAAAAGACAAAATCGCTTTGTCTCTGACAACCGTTAGGCCTACACGACATTAGTGTACGTAGGCCTACATATTTTCGGAAGATTACTAAAATATATCAAAAATTGGTAAATTCCTTTTCTGCTACTGCCCCAATTAAGCGATTAAATTATGTATTAATTTATTAGTTTGGTTTTCGTTCTTTGAGATTTGGCCCAATAAAACGGCTGCGTCTCAGTTAAGCGAAATCCACTTTATATACAGTACTGTAATAGGTTTTGCATCTATAAAATTTTTCGTAACAAATATAAATTTATTAACTGTCTTGCTGTTTTCATTTTAATATTCAGGACATTAATTTAATACCGGTGTATAATTTCCATATGTCGATATGTCCTTTACAGTGTGGTTCTGGTTACGTTCAATCATATAGGTTAAATTAAATCTAAATAGAATTTTAATCGTCACTAGAGGGCGGTAGGTTTATAACCACAAGACCACGTGGAAGTTATCGTATACAGTATTTTGAAGTGGAAATATTGATTCTAACATTTGTAATTTTTTTTTATCGAATTGTATACTTTGATTAAACCAGAGTTTAAACTGTAATTTATACCGTCGTAAGTTAACTGAAGGTAAATTTTTATTTTTTATTCAATTGTGTATGATTTCATCTTTACATTTTTACTTGAGATGATGGTTCACTTTGTTTAAATTAAAGTACTGTACTGTACATTATTTTTGTTGGTATGCGTGTTTTAGCTGGCAGCACTGGCGCGACCATGAAAGGGTACTTAAGAATGCGCTAGTACTTGAATGAGGCTTTTTTCCCATTGTGAGTGGTAGGTAAGTTTTGTGTTTTTCTGAGGACTGTGTGTCGTGCTGAATCAGAATGTTTTTGAGTCTAGATTAACTTCCGAAATATAACTTTTTTGTTTTATATTTTTCAATATATTTATTTTGTTTGTGCAAAATAAAGAAATAATTTTTAACGATACAGTAGCCATGATTAGGTTAATGTGTACCTAGGTAGTCCAAGATGGAGGCACTTCCAGTTAAGACTACTAGCGCGCTCAACGATGACTGTTGGAACTAAATGCGAGCAGGCGACAACCAAAGAAAACGCCGACGCCTGACTGAAATTTTTAGATTAGACATTTGCACTACATTACAGACTACATAAAATCTAAATTAAGTATTAAAAAATACACAGTACACACCGTGTTAACAAAAACAAAAAAAAAACGTTTTTTACTTACATATTCAAAACTTGTCATTGTCTTTTCCTTCTTTTAACAGCAACACGATTGCCAATTGTTTCTGGTTGGGATGTTTCTTTTCTTTTACTCGTTGATTTTACATTCCTACTGTTCTCGGCTTTGTTATTTTTCTTTACTTTTGTTTCCTCCTTTTTCTTTCGGGGTTCTGGGGTGGCAGGCACAGTTACTGGTTCCTTCCATACAGGGATCTTACCTGATCCTGGATATATGAAACTTAAATGTTTTGCAAACAATTGGAAACATTCTCCTGCCATTTAAATAACTTTTTGTACATGAACATATACAGTAGTACCTCAGGATACAAAATTAATCTGTTCTGAAACTGAGATTGTATCATGAAAATGTTGTAAGGTGAATCATTTTTCCCCATATGATTACATGTAAAACCAAATAATCCATTTCAACATGAAAAACACACTCAAATTAAAGCTAAGTAGTACATTGAAAAAAAATAACTTTAGTAAGGAAAACACTGAAAAATGCATTTTGTAGTTATAAATAACCATAATAGAATAATAATTGATAAAAAAAAATAAAATGTAGGTTTATTTGCACTTCACCTTTTAGGATAGATGATGGTGGAGGTGTAAACTGGTGGCAGAGGAGTACTAAAACTTAACTTACATAACATAATGTAACAATAACTTAAAAATAACTTAACACTGATTTTTTAACTTTTCTGCTATATATATTTTTTAAATTTTTTATTCACTGCTTTTTGCTTTCTTCCTTCACTTCCACCAGCACTTTCACTGGATAGAGGTCGCTTGGTAAAATATCTATCCAAAGAGATTTGGCTTTGCCTATTTTTTAAGATGTTTCTAAAATGACTTAGGCAAATGTCATTACTCTGAGCAGCAATACGGCCAGTGTGAACCTTTTTGGGATGTTTCTTTTCAATAAAATCAGTCACTTTCTGATAATACCTCAAGATTTTGTTTATTGAGCGATATCCTTCCACGACGAAGCAAACACGTGGACTGAGACCAATGAACAGAAGTGAATAAAAAATGGCGCTGCGAACTAATGTAATGTTGTATGGTGAGTTTTTGTTTATATCGTGGAGCAAAAATATGTTCGAATTTCATGTCATATCCTGAAAATTTCATATGCTGGAGCATTATCTGTACAGTAGTATCCTGAGGGACTACTGTACAGATAGTACCTCAGTATAATGTTTGAGCAAATGTTCCCTGTCTTTTAACCTCACAACCTTTCTATCTTCTGAGTATGTACACCACTTTTAGGGTTCACAAAATTTTCTGAATGATTCACCGTCTGGTGAACTATTTCTACACCTTAGTAATCAATAGGATGACTAACACGCCAAATTAATATATAATAAAATTTTTGTTTAAAATTTTTGGTAAATATCTGTATTTGCTTGAGGATGACGACAATAAGTTCGTTGATAGTGCTAGCGATAAAAAAAACGCACATAACGCTGAACTCAGTGTATTTGTTTTTGTTATTATTTCTACACCTTCTAATTCGTTTGTGATTATAACCCCTCCACTCATTGGTCAACACTGTGCTTCTGGAATTAACAAATTTTGATATTATCCAATTCAATGTCTTTTTGCTCTTGTCATTAACTTTACAAACAAAGCATGTGTTATCCTCACGACGCACTCCACTGACTACCCACCTTATGACCTTCAATTTGCAACCCCTGTTGTATTTTCGTCTGGATATTATGGTTTCATCAATTTCCACCGTTTTGTTTGGTCCTCCTATTTTAAATGACGATACGTTATTCACGGCTATCATCATAACCAAACATATATAGTTTGCCCAATCAATAGACATATGATTACTAATACTACAAGCCAGGGCTGCATTTGTTGGCGTGCATTCTATGCACAGCAAGTGCCATATGAAGGAAAGTATGATGCCCCAAGAAATATGCCCACACTTACCCTTAAAAGTACCAACAAAAACGAAACCAATTTTTTTACAATAGGTGCATCTCATCGCTATGGATTTCTTGTCAGCATGGTACACTACACAGATGGGAAAATTAGTACATACACCTTCAACATGCTGTAAACCAAGTTTTACAGCTAGTTTCACATCTGATGGAATTCTCTTATCCAGAAAAGGTAATTCATTTTCAAATAACCTGAAGAACATTCGTGAATCACACTTACTCCAAAATTCTTCAGAAAAAATATCTTCAGACGTTATTATTTCTTAAATTTGAAAAATAATTCTATAAAGAAGCAAATAATTAATTCTGAAAATAAATAAATAAATAAAAGAAAAACAGGAAAGGTAATATTCTAAACATTCTATCAAAATTCTAAAGGCACAAACGTCTAGTAAACTCTACGACAGCAAGACAAATTAAAAATTTACATAACTCTACCTTCAAGAGCAGCAATGACGAATTAATTGATTTGCATAAAAATATACTGGATTGAGAAAAATGTATTCTATAGTTATCCTAACAATTTCCAGAAGTGCTTCCATCTTGGACTACCTAGATACACATTAACCACTATTATTATTTTTAAAAATTTCACTAGATTTAACAGTTAAATTCTACTTAGGTGCCAAAATGGCTGTGCTTCCAGAGTCACGTTCTAACCTAACCTAACCTATTCTAATAAATTTTCAAAATTATTAATGTAAGATGTAAAATAACTCAAAAAAAATATGAAGAAAGGAAAATTTTGGTAATTAGAATAGGTTAGGTTAGGTTAGAATGTCATTCTGAAAGTGCGTCCATTTTGGCACCTAGGTAAAATTTTAATTCATTTTTTCGAGACCATCACAATTGTAGGTTTAACCCTCATTTGCCACCATTGTTAGAATAAAAATCACGTGTCTACTTTGACGTCACAGAAAAAACTTCTCTTTATTGGAGGAATTTTGGCGTTTTAAGTAGACATGCTCTACTCTTTTTTTTCAGTTCTGTTTCAGCCAGAATTTCAGAAAAATTTTTACATTTTCTGTTTTATGCTAGATTTTACGCATGTGTGTTCCTGGCCTTATCCTATACAACAACAACGTAGTGTCAAAACTAAGGTGTATATTTTGATAATTCAGAATAAACATGAATTGAAGATATTATTTAAATAAAATTTTCTAGTTTAAAGTAATAAACTTGTGTCCTAAATACTTTGTAATTTAGATATGATAATCTTAACATTAAATTTTATTTTTTCTTAATTTTTAAAAATATTTTCTCATTTATTTATGTATAGAAACTGTTGAAGCAGTACTTCTATTAATATAAGTATTGATTTGACAAATTTATAGTTTTAAGAAAGTTCAAAAATTATTAAATTATACTTCATGAAAAGTCATTTAAATATAATTTTTTTTTTCAAAATTACCATATAGATTAGTATCATGTAACTAAAATTTTCAAAAGCAAAACAAGAAATAAATTTATTTTTGAGATTATGAGATAATGAAAGTATTTTGTTTTATTTTCAGGTTTTATTTTTGGTCAATTTTATAGTGATAAATAATGCCAAAGAAATCTAAATCAAAGTGGAGAAAGTGTGAAAATTGCAAATCAGTATTATGCATGAAAGATGTACAGCTTCATAAAGAGCAATGTGATGAGTTAAAAAATGAAAGCAATAAGTGCCTAATTTTGAATCATTGTTTGATTGATAATGAAAATCTATATGCTACTGTAATTAAAGATGATTTCCAGAAAGGTAACAAAATAGAATTATTTGTTAACAGTTTTATGATTATGAATTTAAATTTCAAAATAATGTATTTTTATAGTAGCAGTAGAATTTTTGTAATTAATTCTGACTTCCTAAAGTTTTGAGATATTATATATAGTTTTTTTAGAGTTTTTGCATTTGGTTACTGGGAGCATTTTTTATTCTGATGCCTATTACACTGTACAACAAAAAAAAATGTTTATGAATGTTTCCTTTATTTCATGAGTGAAATCTTACTAATTTGGGGTGGAAAAATCAAATATCACAAAGAAGAATTTTCATTGGCTCTAGTTTTCGTGATACACAATAGGTGGCACAATAGGTATGTGATTTTAATGGCTTAAGAGAAAACGATACATTTTAATTACATATGCTAACAACATTGAAAGTGCTTTTGAATTTTTGAAAATGTTTGAATTTGAAATTCAAACATTTTCAAAAATTCATAAACAATTCAAATTGAAATTCAAACATTCATAAACAAATGTTTGAATTTGAAAATTCAAATTCAAACATTTCATCAAGCCATTAATATCACAGCAAACTATCAGATTGTTTTTCTTCTCAAAAAAGGGAAGCAGATTCCTCTGACATTCTCTGTACTGTGAGACCCTGACATCACGTTGGAGAAGATTCGATTGCTGTAGTCCTGATGCTAGAAGTTCTACCTTATTCTTTGACAAGTCTAGGTCTTGAATGAGATCACTCAATTCCACTTAACTCAGTTTGTGGTGTATCATCTTTTACCTCAAAATCAGGGCATGGAATGTGGAAGGTTTGTTGGGTTGTTGTTCTCCCACACTTTCTTCATTTTCTACTTCAAGCTCATAATGTTGGGATGGAGTAGGAACTGGTAAACTATCTGAATGTGAAATAGGTTGATTAGCAGATGGAAGATTTAGGTATTGAACTGTTTCTTTTTTCTTCATTGACAATCCTGCCTTTATAGGTGGAGTCAAGCAGAAATAGCAGTCATCTGTATGGTTTGTAGGCTTCTGCCAAACCTTAGACACAGCAAAAGCCACAGATTGTTTTTTACTTTTCAGCCATTCTTGTAGTATAACTGAACAAGAGTTGCAACATATATGTGGAGCCCCTTATCCTGCCCCTACTTTCATACCAAAATAATGGTGATAGGCAGTCTTCAGAAGAGGCATCAGATTGTGTTTCTGTGACGAAAATGTTATTTCACTACAAATATAACAAAAATTGTTCACTGAATTTGTACATTTTTGTGGCATTTTGGTATAACCAGTATTACACTTCAAAAACACTCCAAAACCAGGAATATTAACCAAGAAAAACAGAAACAATATTAAACTTAGAGTCATAGCTACATTTATTATGTTTATAACCTACAAACATATGGAGAACATTTTGCTATGTCAGTTGAGAGGTGTGACAACTCCCAAAAAATAAATTACCCCCAAAATACAAATGTAAACTCTAAAAAATGGCATGTCACTGTATCTTCAAAGCAAGAGTTAATCAGTCATTTTTCTGGTGATTTTTGAATTCAGCAGATAGAAGGCACAGCAGACAGACATAAGAATATGCTAATTTTGAGCCCAAAACATTTTCATTGTTGTGCTGTGTTATTGATTCAACCATACCCACAATGAAGTGTCAGGAAAGGCTCTGACCTATCCAAGTCAAATTAACCATGAAAATATCTGAGAAATTAATATCTGGAATAGAATTGGGTTAATCAGAGCAGCAGACTGACAACTTTACTGTGTTATATATCTAGCTTTATACTTATCATTTATGATTGGAAAAATAATCTTTCAAACCTTTTTCCCACTGAACATGAAAATATTAGTTTGAACACTATAAAGAAAGCAACTATTCAGACTTTTTTAAAACTTGATTACTCAATAAATTGATAAAATAGTCTGGTAACTTTTTCATGCTTGATTTACATAAATTAACACTTAGGAATTAAGAAAAAAGTTTTAAATAATTTTATAATATACAGTGGGTGATCAGTTAATGAACATAATCCATTCAAAGATTTTGTTCGCTATTTGAATTGTTTGTTAACCGATTATCAATTTATCATAGGTTTTTATGGGAATTTGATTAATTCATTCTGGAGACCCCAAAAAATAAAAAATATACACTTTCTTACTACGTTTATTTATATGTAATAATAAAAATATATATATNAAATATGCTTTTAAGGCGGTAAATAAAAAATAATGTAATATTTATTTTTATGCAATTTTTTTTTCAATTATTTTCATATAGTTTTTTAGTATATGTATCCATTACTCATGTTAGTTTTCAAATTTCTATATTGTATCAGATACAATGTATCTTTTGTTACTTAATCTATACTAATACTGTATTATAAAGAGGTAATGCTTGTAAGTTTGGATTTAGGAGTAATCTCCGAAACTACTCATCCAATTTCAAAAATTCTTTCACCAATATTTAGAATGGAACTTCAGGGTGAACATAGGCTGTATATTATTCCGTTAAACATTCATATAAATTAAAAAATATCATCTAGGGTTAAGGCTTTTATGTCCAACAGATGGCGCTACCAGTACGACGACTTAAGTATGACTTAATAATTGAATTTAGACTTAAGTATGCTTTTCTGTGAGGATGAACTAAAGCAGATCTTCTTCTATCTATCTATATAAATAAAAATGTAATGTTCGTTTGTTCCTACCGATTCCTTTGAAATTTTCACACAACGCTGCATTCAAATACGCACGTGTTTTTATATAAAATACATGTCGAAATTCCCCCACTGGGGGAGATGGACAGGATTAAGACTTACAGTAAAGAACTCTGGTTCTATTTATACTATTTTAGATGCGGTTTTTTGCGTTTTTGATTGCGTTTTAATATAGTACGTCAACAGAATATACACTAAAAAGTGATTTTTCGATATTCCCCCCGCGGGGGAGAGGGACGGGATTAAGGCTTATCATGAAGAACTTGGCTTCTATTATACTATTTTAGATGCGGTTATTTGCGTTTTTGATTGCGTTTTAATAGGGTACGTCAAGCGAATGTACTGTACACTAAGAAGGGATTTTTCGAAAAATTCCCCCCCACGGGGAAGTGTTATTCATTTATAATAGATACATTTTGAGCCACAACAACGCGTAGCGGGGTCTGCTAGTACCGGTATTACTAATTTTAAAATTAGTAAAATTTAAAATTATTAATTAATTAGTAGTATTATTTTAAAATGTCCGGGTCAGCAATTTTCAAAAGGTGGTAACACTAGTCCCACGTGCCACAGTTTGCCGACTCCTGGTCTAATGAATACAATTATTTAACTTAATTTTAATTAATTCACTTTCAACATGTGTATCTTAGCTGAAGATAAAAAATTAAATAAGCCATTCACTTGATTTCAAATATACGCGATAGGTAATAGCATCAGATCACAGGGCAGTTTTGCCTTAGATTTAACCTAAATATAAGACTACCCTAAACATTACCCTGAGAGATTGAAATTACCCTAGAAACGGCAGCACTGCTTATAATACAAACTAAAATTAATAATATTTGACATATTGATAGTAATAGCGTATGATTAAGTTTAATATTGTTAAATACTATAAATAAAGCCCTAGATATAAAAAGAACGACACTTCGTCTGTAGAACGCCATTTTCAGATAACGACTCACTACGTAAAATACAATCATTTCTTTGAAAAGTATTTTTCTTTTGAAATTCATCTCAAATAAATCAATATAAACTTTAAAAACATATTAAAGTTTCGTGTCTGAAAAATAAATTATTAAAATACGCGGTATTAATCTGCAGTGAAGCACTTCCGGCCCAAATACTTTTAGAAATGACTATACTTTTAACGACATAAATAAGTGCAAATAAACTACACTTGAAGCTTGTAAATACAATCATTCCTTTAAAAAGGATTTTTCTTTTGAAATTCATTTCAAATAAATCAATATAAACTTTAAAAACATATTAAAGTTTCGTGTCTGAAAAATAAATTATTAAAATACGCGGTATTAATCTTTAGTGAAACAAGACTTTCGTCCCAAATACTTTTAAGAATGTTTATACTTTTAACAACATACATTAAATGTAAGTGAAATAAAATTTAACGTTCTTTCTAATCATAATAAAGGTCGAAATTTACGTTGTTGATACTTTATAATCGATATAATTAAGTGGTGATGATGCTTTCCAGCATCGCGCTTAGAGTACAGCAAGATTGCAGTAATATCTAGCTGTGACGTTTGTATGTTGGTATTTTCGCAAATCTCATCGTGAGATGTCTTCATTGCGTACGATTATATTCCGCTAACGGTTCGACTATTAAAATCTTTGAGTTCAGGCTGATAACTCTTGACTTAGGTTTATGCTACCGTTTTCTGTGCCCATTTACTTTAGAGGGAGTAAGCAAATCAATCTTCGGTGCTAGCTTCCTGAAACATTATGGTGTTTTGGTAGACTTCAATAACAGCTACTTATGTGACCCGCTTACTAATCTTTTAATCGATCAGACTTTCAAATTGTCTCCAAATAATTCCTATATTCTACAGTCAAAGTAAAATAATCACGTTTAAGCTTACATAAACTAAATTTCATTCGTATATAATTGTGACAATGCCGAAGGGCCTACCTATACTTCGGCACCACTTGACCGAAGGGTCGACATCGCGTCGGCGAAGATCGCAATGACAAGTTTCGTCAGGACTGACACTACTGTGTCTTTACGGACAGACACAGAAACCGTTATGTTCTCGCGCGAACGATTGCGTGTGTGAGCGAAAGGATTCGGGATGGAGGGAGAGACGGCGNGATGAGTGGTTGGTTGGTTGGTTAACTTTTATTGGCACAAAAGCCATACAGGCCATACTGCGCCACAACACATGGTGCAATTCGAAGTAGAAAATAAATAAAAAGACATATATACACATAAACGAAACATCACAGTTTAACCATTAAACAGCCAATGGTAATATAAATATAAAATCTATAATATAATGAATAAATAAGTAACAACAAAAATAAATAAATAAGCAACAACAAAAATAAATAAACAAACAACAACAAAATATATATACAATAATTTATATATGCAACTCAACGTAAATAAAACTGTACAATAATTATTGAAGAGGAACACAAAATAAAAATTAAATTCATGACAGAAGAGCATGATATGAAAATGCTCCTAATGCTAACACAAAAGTCCAGCAAAAGATATTGCAAATATTAGTGGATAATCCATCCAGTTTTAGAATGCAATTAAATTAATATTGAAATTGATTTGTAATTACTTTTTTGCAAAATATATATTTATATACAGTGTAAAAAGTGTTTTTATTTTTTAATAGGTGATAAAGACCTAAAACTTTTTTCTAAAAACAGTGCCTTTCTTCATCCTTCAACTATGAAGATGTGCAATATATATTATAAAAAAACTAGTATGTAAAAAGTGTTTTTATTTATTTATAGGTGATAAAGACCTAAAACTTTTTTCTAAAAACAGTGCCTTTCTTCATCCTTCAACTATGAAGATGTGCAATATATGTTTTGGAGACAGGATCACTTTGACTTCATCATCAGGTTATCAGATTCTTTGTACTGTCCTGCCAAAATCATCTCTTTCATTGACAACAATTTCAGTAATGAAAAATGACTTTTCTAAGGATTATAACAAAAAAATAATTTGTGTGAGAAAATATTTAAAGTATCCATTGAAAGCAGACTCTCTAACAATATTGTGTGAAAGTTCAAGCAGAAAAGATCTTTTTTTTAATGATTTTAAAACTTTCTTTATTCGAAACTACTGTAAGTACTATTATAATAAGTATCTAAAGTTATATTGTATAGTTTATATAGATTTTNTTTATATGTAATAATAAAAATATATATATACACAGTCTTGCATTTTTAATAGTTATGTTTTTTCCGTTTGAAGGGGTTAAAGAATCTGTCTAATGTCGATTGCTTTTTCTCTCTTCTTCAGGATTTTTCAGAAGTAATTAATAGCATTGTAATTGTAGAGATCCTTAAGCCTATTAACCTGAACCTGGTTTGGATGCCATTCTACAACCGTTGTTATGACATCCTCCCACTTCAAAAGATGTTTAATAGCAGATATCGGCATTAATCCTCTTTTTCAGAAGAAAACATATCTCGCCAAGTTTTTTGGTGTTCTTCATTCAAGAGTTCTTGGAATTCTTCTGTCGTCAGATCAGTTTCAGGTTCCATTATGATCTCTTTAATGTTTTTTATTTCTCAGATGTGATTTTCGTTACTCCTTTAGCTGCTTGAGTCTTCTTGATTATACTGTACTGTCATACTGCCCAGCAATATCAGATATTCTTCTGCCCACTCTCTACCTTTGCTATTATAATCTCACCTTTTGAAAATAAAAACCGACACAAAACTTAACGAGTGCCCACCCGACAGTCTTGCGAAACTATAAAAAATTCTTTGTCAGAAAAAAGGATGGAATTACAAGGAAGAGTTTCAAAGTTTGGAGGAATACTATCTGATCAGTATATACTGGGTTGAGCGTCAATGTCAATGTCTCCCGCACTCTGAAAAGTTTCAAATTGTTGCCTGAACACAAGGGAAGACCAATCAGTATTCATTATTTTAGGTCGCTTCTCCTTGTGTTTGTTCTGTTAGGTGTTTGTTATCCGAACATAAAAAATCTTTCGCAAAAGTGTTCATTAACCAATCACCCACTGTATTACTTTCTTTGAAAATACAGTTGAACCTGTCTATCTCAAATCTCACAGGGATGAGAAAAAAAATTTGAGATAGGTTTCGAGATATAGAGGTTCCTACAAGTAAACAGTAATAGATTTGACAGCAAATACTATATTTTATTAATACAATAGCAAGTACAGTGCACACCTGTGTTAGGTGTAAATAAAATATTTTTGACATACCTCAAGAGAAATAGTTTGTCAGTAGTTTCTATTGCATGACTTTCTTTGACTAATAAGATGCAAGCCAAACTCATAGTGATTAGAGAAAATCAGCATTAATTATCAGTATGTACTGTATTGCAAGAGACATTTCTTCACTACAGAGTATGCTATGAAAATGTAGTTGCTAAGCTTTGAATTTGTAATTGTTGTTAATTGGCAAATTTAGTTTTAAAACAAATATTTTCATATGTAATTCTATATTTTAGAACTGTTGGAGCTTTTTGAAAATTATTATTGTTCTGATTACATTTACTTGTAATTTAAAAATTTTCAATGGTTATTCTATTGAAAATGTTGAAATATTAAGAAAAATGATCGAGTATCACAAGGTGTTCTGAAATGTGTTTTCAGTTCAATTTATTATGAAATGTCCTATTTATGCAAGTTGAATTTGAATTGAAAGTATGAAAAGTTGCAGATGATCTTTTGAGTTTAATATATAAAAAAAACTAGTATGTAAAAAGTATTTTTATTTACAGATGATAAAGACCTGAAATGTGTTTCGAGTACAATTTAATTTATTATGAAATGTCCTATTTATGCAAGTTGAATTTGAATTGAAAGTATGAAAAGTTGCAGATGATCTTTTGAATTTAATATATAAAAAAAACTAGTATGTAAAAAGTATTTTTATTTACAGATGATAAAGACCTAAAATTTCTACCTAAAAACAGTGCCTTTCTTCATCCTTCAACTATGAGGATGTGCAAAATATGTTCTGGAGACAGGATCACTTTGACTTCATCATCAGGTTATCAGATTCTTTGTACTGTTCTGCCAAAATCATCTCTTTCGTTGACGACAATTTCAGTACTGAGAAATGACTTTTCAAAGGATTATTACGAAAAAATAGTTCATGTGAGAAACTATTTCAAGCATCCATTGAAAGCAGAGTCTATAACAATATTGTGTGAAAATTCAGACAGAGAAGATATATTTTCTAGTGGTTTTCAAACTCATTTTATTCGAAAGTACTGTAAGTATTATCATCATAAGTATCTATAGTTATATTGTATAGTTTATATATTTTTTATTTTTATTAAAGGAGGAGTGATTTTTTTTAGTCTTTTATAAGTACTAGTAATCATGCACATCAAGTAATCTTGTTAGAAATTATAAAGATGTATATATTCAACCGAATTCCTATAGAACCCAATTCTCATAGAATCAATCAGCTTTCTGTATATTGAATAATAACCTTATAAGGAGGTTATTATTTAATATGATATTCTTGTTAAAAATTTAGCTATTCTTGGACATAGTGACTACATATGGGTGGGCCATTTGTATACAATATTTTCAAAACAGGCCTACCTTTGGGTTTCTGTAATTTTTACAGGATTCAGTTAAGGCTGTGTACACACTAGGCATTTTGCGTTGCGTTAAACGCGCGTTAGCTCGGTATTAGATGACCGTTTAGTGGAGCATACGCACTGGCTCAGTTTGGAAATGGACATGAAAGTAATTGCTTATGTGCCCCTCCTCCATTGTCGCTATAAAAGACGATGGCAGAGGCAAAGAGAATTTTGGGTGCACCTAATATTACAAGATAGACTGACAAATGGAATGCTTGCGAAGTTGTATCCAAAACTAAGACAAAATAAACCCAAGTTTTTTAATTCTTTTAAAATATCTATAAAATCCTTTGACAATGGTTGGTTTCTTTTAGATTTCATCAATAAATAGATCAGTATCGAAATGATCGTTCTCCATTTCGGCCAACGTACGTCCACTCTACCCAAAAACGCGCAATCGAATGTACAGTAACATGGCAGTACATATATCTCAAAGCGCTCGGCTGACGCCCGCAAAACACGCCTTTTAAGAAAAATCTATAAACACGCATTTGAGTGTGTATGTCTATGCAGAACTCTTGGTTCTTTAAAATGCGCGTTTAAAAATGCCTAGTGTGTACACAGCCTAATACATATAACATTGTAAAGTGATAAGTGATTTATTCATTTTAAAAATAGAAAACTACATTAGTACAATGCAGGCTTGCTTACCTTTATGATGTGCTGATAGTCTAAACTTTTCTTTTTTTGGACTTAATTGCAGCAAATATATTTACTGCCTTTGATGGGTCTTCATTCTCTCTATCACTTGTGAAGTTTTCAGAAAACATAATGCTGAATTAGTTATTCTTTCTTCAGTCATTGACACACAAAAATAATTTTTTATAATTTCAGTTTACAGAATGAATGTTTAGCAGAAGTCATAATAGCAGCTATTGTAAGAAATTATAGAAAGGCCATGCAGACATCAGGCAAGCTGCTTGAAACATGATATTCAATCAGAAGTAGCTTGTGAATTCTTTTACTGTGGCTCTTTTTACAATGTCTTTCAACAAGCAAGATTCAAATGTCAGCAGTTACATTGGGAATGATCATGATAAATCACTTTTATAACAGAGAAGAAGTTTTTCTGCAGCTGCATACAGTTTTTCACCATTATTTGAGACCAGGGTTGAGGGAAGGATAGTATGAAATGTGTCCACCACTATTTAACTCTCAAATCTCTTCATGAGCTTTGATATTATTATTTCTAAAGTAGCGTAGAAAATGCCTACTTTAAACCTGAGCCAGTTAGTGGATTTTGTATAGTGTATAGCGTAAACTCCAAATTTCTGTACCTAGGTCCCTTCTTTATGTATATGCCAAGCCTTTAGAAAATTTGATTATATACTGCCACTGGATCTCCAGTCCACATTACATAGGATAATTTGTAATGATACAGATGGGGTTACACTTTTGGAAAAGTCTAGAGTTTAAACCTACAATTTATCAAAGAATTGGCATTGTTTTTCATGTTTTTCCTGGAGTGTTGTAGAGATTTCTCAAATTTCAGCTATGTTGAATAGTATGAGGGGCAAGGGCCCTCATACTATTTGCTTTGGGCTCCTGTGCAATTGCACAGGTTGCACAAATGTTAATTATGCCACTGCTTGGATATTAAATGATTCAATAAGTGATAATAAATATCTAGCTTTGATCTACACAAATGCATTACATATCTTTTATAAATACCTAATATTGTCTTTATTTGGTGAAAATACAATTTAATAAAAAGTAAAATACATCACAAATGGATACGAGTCCAATTTTTCTTGCCATGTCCAATCACCAGGAACAATTACTTCCATTGCAGAGACAACCTTTCTTTAGAGGCTATGCCTCTGTACAAATATGTAAAACAGTTTAAAATGTCTGCAGGTGACAATCCCAACACAATTAAAAATATAATATTTCTTTGTAGAAAAGGGCTGGCAGAATTACAATTTAATAAAAAGTAAAATACATCACAAATGGATATGAGTCCAATTTTTCTTGCCATGTCCAATCACCAGGAACAACTATTTCCACTGAAGAGAGAACCTTTCTTTAGAGGCTATGCCTCTGCACAAATGGATATTTGTGCAGAGGCATAGCCTCTAAAGAAAGGTTCTCTCTTCAGTGGAAATAGTTGTTCCTGGTGATTGGACATGGCAAGAAAAATTGGACTCATATCCATTTGTGATGTATTTTACTTTTTATTAAATTGTAATTCTGCCAGCCCTTTTCTACAAAGGAAAATATAATTGTTATTGAATGGTACCAGTATCCAAAGTATAAATATGTATGACACTTTTAGCTTATTACTGGATGTGTTCATCTGTAATTTAATTGTACAGCTATCACTTGTTCATTAATGTTCAGTAATGTTTTCAGCTCTCTCTTTGTTCATTAAACAAAAAAAAAAAAATAGCTGTAAACATAATAACTGGAAAACTTAAATTAAAAAAATTTGAAACATAATATCTGTATTTAAAACTAAGGATCAGGAATTAGAGTTAGAAGTTAACCACTAAGCATTCACAAACTAAAAATGTATGGTAGTTGATTAACTTTTAACTCTAACTCTTGAATCTTGGGTGTAAATATGGCTATGAAAAAGCTTTAAAAAAAATTTTTTTTTAAATATATATACAATAGAGCATAGATTATCTGAATACTGATCAACCGAAACATTGGTTAACCAAAAGTGTTCCAGTCGGCAAATTCAAATTTCCCCTAGTGCTGTGGAGCTGCAGCACTCTTCCCCACCCTGCCAACTGAAACTATAGGCCTACTTTAATGTACTACTTTATGTAAGATATGTATTTGTAGGGCATGTGATACAAAATATATACAGTAAAGTTTTGTTCTTAATATATTTTTTCATAAATGATCAGTTATCCGAACAACCCCAGTCTCGAATTTTTTTGCATAATCGATGCTCTACTGTAATATATTGAATTCTTTCTAAACAATAATTTTTATATTTTAATTGAAATTTATGATAATTTAGAATTATGAAAATTATATTTTCATGAATAATAAATTTATTACAGATGATACGTATGTGACATTTGGAACAAAATTATCTTTTCCATATTTTGGAAATATTTACCAGTTAAAGATTGTAGATGTTATTGGTGAAAATTGTGATAAGAATCAGATAAGAAATTCTCCTGATTTTCTTTCTGTTAAAATGGATGCACTAAAATTAGAAGAATCAGTTGATGGACTTGATGTAAGTAATAAATCAGAAATTTCTAAAAGTGAAGAATGTCATGACAGGACAGAAACAGATTTTAATTCAGAAGTTTCTGGAAGCAAAACATCATTATTATGTTCTACACCTTTGAACACAAATAAAAGTTTATCAAGTTTATTTACTGTTAAAGATTCACCTGTATTGAGGGATAATTATTTAAAGAAAGCTGAAAATGAAATTCAGTTTTATCTGATAACAATGAGGACAAATATCAAATTTGTAAATGAGACACAAAAACATGATACTTCATATATAAAAATAACATTTGATAAAATTGGTGGTTTAGAACGTCAGATTAGTCTGCTGAAAGAACTGATATATCCAATAATATGTCCAAGATATTTCAGATTAAAAGGTTTGTAAACATTTTTATTATAATTAAGTAAGGAATATTGAAGTTTTTTATTTTTATACTAAATAGGATAAGATATTGAAGGATTTATAGATTTTAGGGTTAATGATTCCCTAACAAAAAGAAAACTAAACTTTATACATGCTTTAGCATGCATAGATGTTTGTTCTTTTAACTATGACAGTTCTTAATACAGTAAAACTTCTAACTCAAACATCTGTAACTCAAATACTTCTTTAACTTGAAAATGAAGTACTTGGTAGATCTTAATGGAAGAGCATAGGAATTTAATATCTTCAACTTGAATTTCCTGAACTCAAATTTTCTCAAAGTTAAAGGTTTTCACAGTTCTCTGACACAGATCTGTGTTAGTTTTGACTTCTCCAACTCAGTTTTTAATATTTATTTTGTATAAAGTGATTCTAATTATTGGATTTCCATGAAATTTTCAGACAGTTGTATCTACTGTCTGATACCCATTTGCAAACATTTCAGTCGAAAACAAGAGGATCTCTCACTTTATCTCAACAAGATTTACTTGCAAAACTGTTTGATTTCATTAGTTATGGTGAACATTTTGCTGGAAGGCATTGTACAGTCTGTTTTGAAACAAAAAATCTATCAAATATTCTTTATATAATGCAAGAGAAGTAAAAATATCAGGTCAGTCCACAAGTTCATGGGTATTTATTTTATGACCTTGAGAAAAATCATGTTTTGCTGTTAAAATTGTCAGTCTAATGTGATACTGTTTACACTGAAGTGTTAAATTGGATCTCATTCATATAATACTGTTCATATAATACTGAATTGGGAACATTTCAGTTTATTTTCGTTAAAATAGAAGTAACAGACGAATATAAGAGACATGTTTTATACTTTTTATTTTTAAGTGGTGAGAATGCTACAAATGCAGCCAAAAAATTAAATACTGTTCATAATCAAACTGTAATTAGTGTAAGGACTGCGCAGAAGTGGTTTGAAAGATTTAGAAATAATGATTTTAGTGTGGAGGATAAGGCTCGTACTGGAAAACCCGTATGATGCTCTCTCTGCACTAATTGAAGCAGAACCATCTTTAACAGTTGATGAAATTGCAGAACGTTTAAATTCATCCCGTGGAACTGTTCATAGACATCTACAACAAATCGGAAAAGTTTCAAAGCTAGGAAAATGGATACCACATGAACTGTCAATAGCTAACCGACAACAACGTGTAAACATTTGCACGTCTCTTTTATCCCGCATTACTTTAGAACCTTTCTTGATCGGCTGGTTACTGGAGACGAAAAATGGATCCTCTATAATAATGTGACGAGAAGAAGACAATGGACAGATCGCGACAACCAGCCAAAACTGGCTGAAAAAGGTGGGTTGCATTGAAAAAAAATTCTTTTGTCTTTGTTGGGATATCTCAAGTGTAATTCACTTTGAGCTGTTAGAACCTAATCAAACAATTACAGCTCAAATGTATTGTGATCAATTAGAGTGTTTAAATGAAAAATTGAAAAAAAATCGACCGTCATTAGTGAACAGAAAGCAGGTTCTCTTGCAACATGACAATGCCAGAGCACATGCTGCAAAAATAACTGTAGAGAAACTCAAGCTTCAACTGGGAAATTTTACCTCATCCACCATATTCGCCAGATATTGCTCCCAGTGATTATCACCTTTTTCGCAGTTTGCAGAATTTTTAAAAGGGAAAACTTTTGAGGATGAGAACAATGTAAAAAAGGCTATTTCTGAATATTTTGATTCAAAACCGAAATCATTTTACGAAGACGGGATTAAAAAGCTACCATCAAGATGGCAAGAAATTGTACAAAATAATGGTGAATACATTATAGATTGAAATAA